GTTGCAAAATAATGAACCACCCTGGTTTTTAGAATAATCATCTTCACGATTGAGGTGGCAGGGTCTCCAAGCACAGGGACGTTTGCAACTAGAAAATGCGAGGCAAGGGCGCTAACGCCTCCACCCCTCTTGACCGCTGCGACCGCTGCTATCTTATCATGCGAAGCAGTGGTGTCCGAGCCTTCTCGGTGTTGCGCTCTTTCGCGTTTTCCCTCTCGTATCAGCGTTGTGCCCATCTATTATACCACCGTCAACTTTACAAAAACGAAGAAGTCCATTATTTTGCCTAGTTTTCCTCTCCGCCCCCCCCCCCCCACGCCCGCCCGTCTGCCAATTTTCCGAGCAGAATAATACACTAATTCAACCGCGGCCCGTATCTTGAATGAGTTTCAGGTTTTGTCAGTTTGATTCTTGCATGATTTTCTTATTTTTTTCATCGATGAATTCTATCGATTCAACGTAGTTCAGAATGATGAGCCAGGTAAATGGACTACCCCAAGTGGTATCGAATTTTTAGAGCTGCTTTTTGCCTTGAATTAAGGTGTAGTTTTCTCAGAATAAGTATAAGCCGTGCACTTCATCGTCGTCACATTGATTCCACAAAATTTTACTTTGTTCATTATTTAATCTATATTTCATTATTTCATTTATAATAACCTTTTACATTGCTTTATTCATCGCTGATTCTCTATTTGTAGCAGATAATAATTAGCTTATAAGAAGTATTTGAGTTTCCACTTTACAGGCATCAAGTTTTGGTTCGAATATATTTGCCGTTCATGGCATGTGATGAATGAGTCACGTTCAAAGATCCCTTGTTTATTTCGAGTTACAGGGGCTGATGCGTGAGAAAGCGGAGACTCAAACTGGTGGAAATTAATGATTTAACAGCAACAGATGCCCTTCTCAATGAAAACTGTCTCTAGAACCTTTGTGTCTCGGTTGAATCGCGTGAGTCAGGCGTTGCAGTCGAATACACGAGATAGAAACCTTTTGACTTCTTACCAAATTAAGCTCGGGAAATGATATCCTCTATCCTTACTGATTTCTAGGCGAGCTAACAGTTAAGACAGAGGTCCTCTGAGAGAGAGGGGAACATCATTGAGGAACCTACATAAACGAGGACATGCGAAGATAAGGTCATGTTGTATGTAATGCGCAATTGAGGATAGGGAAAGGCACCTGCTTGTTGGTCTTCGACGCCTTACCATTCTGTATATTGGGCCTTCTGCTGGCAGGATTTGGCTTTCCCACTTGACAGTTCCCTTCAAATATTGAAACGCTTGGTCTTCTAGTCCTCTCGAATTCTGAACCTCTGAGGGTTAGAGAATGGAATGCTTGGTAAACCATTTTGGCAAACACTCTTGTACAGTACCTACATAGCTCAGTGCAATATCGTGAAATATGATACATTTATAATGTGAATAACTTATATAATATCTGGCTGTAATCTTCAGCAAGCATGTACGTAACAGCCTTTTTCAAATACATTTTTCATTCGGATGCAATATCGGACTTCCGCAAATTCACGCGTCCTAACTGTCCGCCGTAAACATCGGCGTTAGACTG